AGTGGTTTATAGTCCACACGTTGTGGTGAAGAAACCATATAAAGCAGGGCTCTGCTATCTACATCTATTATCCCATCAAGGACATCAACAGGGATTCCTCCATTTATAAGAATTTCTGCAACTATTTGCATCTACCAAGGGTAGATGGGCCCCAATCACATGTGCCTCAATAGGGTTGTACTGCATGAATTTATATTCATATTATTAGGGTATATCCCCCCTTTATGCAAATTGTTTACCCATATTTCCTTGAATAGGCTAAGGGTTATGTTTCTCTCCACATGGCAACTGCATTAGCTATTATGCATAGCATGTGACAATTATATTATATATACCTATGGTACAATTTTTTTTAAATACCTTCCTACAGGGAGTGTAACCAATGTGCGGTGCTGCAAATGCTTTAGACAAGGTTTGTCATTGTCTCAACAGCACATATATATCCAGACCGGTGTTGGTGTGGTTTTAAACTGTTTTAGGTCTGTGCATATTGTCTCATACTGAGGTGATGGTAAACCAGGGTGATTGCCCTATTGTCTATCATTAATGTTTAATAAAGCATCATTTTTGGAAATTTTTCCAAGTATTGCATTCTGTCCATAATGTAGCCGCTTTCTTGTGAATCTCTTTTCACAATTTCTTTGTTGGTCTTTCTGCTAAGATTGCCCTGTATTTTGCTCCATCCCTCTTCCCATCAACTCTGACCAGCTTCCCTGTCCCTGCTGAAGAAAAGCATCCCCATAACAGGATGCTGCCACCAAGTTTCAGAGTGGGGATGGGTGTGTTCAGGGTGATGTGCAGTGTTAGCTTTTCGCCACAGATAGCATTTTGCTCTTAGGCCAAAAAGTAAAATTTTTTATCTCATCTGACCACCTTCTTCCACGTGTGCCATGACCTCCACAAAGCTTCTCACAAACTGCAAATGGGACTTCTCATGGCTTTCTTTCAGCAATGACTTTCTTATTGCCACTCTTCCATAAAGGCCAGATTTGTGGAATGCACAACTAATAATAATTGTTCTGTGGACTAATTCTCCCACCTGAACTGTGGATCTCTGCAGCTCATCCAGAGTTACCATGGGACTCCTGGCTGCTTCTCTGATCAATGCTGTCCTTGCCCAGCCTCTGTTTAGGTGGACAGCCATGTCTTGGTAGGTTTGCGGTTGTGCCAGACGATGGATTGAACAGAGCTCTGTGAGATGTTCCAAACTCGAGATTTTTTTTTTTTTTTTTTTTTATCTGCAGTGCCTTGAAAAAACATTTGCAAATCTATATGAAAGCGGCACTTAATCATCAAGGCCCCTCTGTAAAGTGCTGTCCTAGCAGATAATGGTTTGAAATTCAACTAGGCCCTATCAATCAATCTTGTGTATAACCAGCCTATCAAGTTTTTCCCAAAAGATCAGTGCCATCAGCTATAACTAGCAATAGTGACCATTGTAATCCTATGGCAGGGAAGGCTTCCTGTTGTCAAAATATAATACCACAGCAGGAAGGATTCCTCCATCCACATTGACTGTATAGATGGAGGAATCTGATTATCTTTTTGCTCAGCCCACTAGTTGAAAAAGAGAAAAAAAAAAAAATCATAAAAAACATTCACCCAGGATAACACTGCTCCTGCTCAGCAATAATAAATCTGGACGGACTAAGCAAGTTACAATGAATATCTAGTTGCAAGGCATATGGCATAGTGTATCTCCAGAGGCATAGTGTGCCAATGGCCAAACCATACTTGTAAATACAGAAATCTGTCTCTTTAAAGTACCAAGAGCCACAGATTGGTGGAAGGTCAGGATGCAAGGAAAAGAATATTACTAGGGATCACGCAACAAAAATGGACTCTTTAGGTGTGATGGTAGATCCCACAAGAAGCAGATTTTCTCACCATGAGCAAGGTGGGAATAAAAGTAAGCAATGCCTCTGTCTTTATGGCTGTTAAAACCCAGATCCTCAAGGATAAGGTCAATGACTGAGCAGGGTGGAACAGAGGTCACCGAGACAGGAGCTCTAACCTTTTTGGAAAAGGCAACAGTTTGTCAGTCAGGAATCTGTGCATGTCTCTGTACCAACATGAAGTGAAGAGCATCACTGCAACCAGTTCTATCTTGTAGAGCAGTAGAGGGAGTTCATACACCAGTCTGAACATGAACCAAGGATTCACCAGAGCATCCACTGGACCTGGCCACAAACCTATCCAGTACTTTGTTGAAGATAGGCTGCAATAACCCAGGTGCTGACTGATGTCAGGCAGCTGTGTCAGGGGAAGTGCAGGATCCAGTGCCTGAAACAAATTTTAAAAGGTCAGCTCCACTGCTGTGAAGTTAAGAGTCAGAAGAGAGGGCTTCTCCAGGGGGCAGCAGAGAGGAAAGCTCTAGGGCAGGGGTGTCAAACTGGCAGCCCTCCAGCTGTTTTGAAATTACAAGTCCCATCATGCTTCTGCCTTTGGGAGTCATGCTTGTAACTGTCAACCTTACAATGCCTCATGGTTCTTGTAGTTTGGCAACAGCTGGAGGGCCGCCAGTTTGACACCCCTGCTCTAGGAGGGAGAGAGTTGCATACTGCCGACAAGGAGTTTCATTTTTGCAGCTGCATGTCCTTGTTTAGATGGGCAATTAGGGGCAGTAAAACCACCGCTCAACCATCTGCTTTAACATCCCCTGGTAACCCCTGATGAATGAACCCTAACAGCCAATCAACTAATATTTTCAGACACCAACAGCCCCTCTACAGGTTTATTTTTATTAAATACAAAAGTCACACAATTAAAAATGAATAAAAGCACAAAGACTAGCAGTTAAACAGGTGGTATAAGTTTTATTCCTTTACAAGTACGATTATATACAAATTAGTAACACATGTTACCATCTAATGCTTTTATTGACTCCTGTTTTTAAAATTAAGAGGGCATAGCAAACCATCAACCAGTTAAAAACAGATTTAAGAAAAGCTTAAAAACAAAACCATAACACAGAAAAAAAATAATTGCATTTTCTTATTAGTTGGAAATGCACACCTGCAAAGGCTTTCCAATGGAATAGAGCTGGAGGTCAGGTTACTTACCAAACACAGACACATCTTCAAAAGATTTTATGCAAATGCTAAGACCATAATATTTTCCATAAAGCATGTATGTCTATATGTATGTACACAAATGCTCCCATAAGTATTTGTATGCCTATATTGTCCTAAATATTTACATACAATGGCATTTTCAGCAAAAAAAACTGTTACATTTAAGCTTCATGGATCCATATCTCGTTGCCTTTAAAAGCGATATGAGATTCTGATGAAGTGATTCCAGTTCTTTGATTCCTCATAACCTCCGTTCTGTACAACAAGCAGGTTGTTCTATGTGTTCCCTCAGATGTGCTCTGCACAACACAGGGTTTAAAAAGAACTATATGTAAAAAGATACATTCTGCCAGGCTGTACTGAGCAGTATTCGTCCAGCCATACAATACAGTCAGCTCGCAGAAGGTTTAAGCTGCCTTAGTCAATTTAAGAGAATTCAGCGGTCACTGTTACATAAAAACAAATCACAGCTGATCTCAATTTCCATATTCTAATTTACATAAATGAGAGAACAGACATTACCTGGTAAATTCTCTCACTTGATAAGTGCCTTGTTTAAAACTCATTTCATATGTTTTAGTGGCTATTCTGCATAGGTGACTTCATCAAGCTTTGAACAGCCCTTGTAGGATTGCCAAAATGCAGTTCACCTTTGTATGTTTTCCCTCGCAGTCCTGCCAGCCACAATGGGCCTCAATAATCAAAGTGCATGAAAGTCAAACTGTTGTTAAATGCCACAAATCTGCCTCCCATTTTTTCCCCTAGAATGCAAAAAAAAAAAAAAAAAAAAAAACGTGTTGAGTATTTTGATAACTTCGGGTACTTCTGTATTGTTTGTGAAGAACTGTTTTCACAGCAACCAAGCACACCCTTCTATCCTCCCGTGAAAGTACATGCTGCGGGTTTTAGCGGTAGTTCTTTCAAATGCTTTGATACATAAGGCCTCAACTAATCAAATTGGTCAAAATAAACCTAAAAAACAGGAGGCATCCTGTTAAAGTGAACCTGCCAGTAATTTTAAACCTTCCTAAGCAAAAATCCTGTCTAAGAGCACACATGACTAGGTGCTACTAGTGTAATAGTCAGCCTTTACTGTGTGTCCCTCTGATCTTTGTTTCACTTGGTTATTAAAGGCCTCTACTCCCCTGAAGTTTGGGCCAAGCACCACTTGTTCTCCCCTAGGAGCACACAAAGGAGTCTTCTTTAGCTAATAAAAGTAGAAACCAGCACCTTGTCATGTCTGCTCTTAGGTAGCACTTCTATTTAAGAGAATAACAGAGCTGAAAGACTTGACTTTCAAATTCAAACTACAGAAAGCATTTCCAGCTGTGAGATGTGGATCAGCAGTGGACGTGCCACCAATTACTAAAGCCTATCATATTTCTTTGTTTTTATATTCTTTATCCATATTACTAACAATGACTTTATTTAGTCCTGAGCTGTTCAGAAAATATGTATAAGTATATGGGAGGAGGGGTGGGGGGGGGGGGCTATTTTAGGTGAATGAACATGCATTATTAACAGGCTTTATGCAAATGAATGCATATAGTTTGTTTAGCTTCTTTAAGCGTTGTTATGGAGTAACAGTGCAGTATATATAGTAAATGCAGTGACATTTCTATGTAAAAAGTTTTAAAAAGTCTTACACTAAATCAGCAGCAGGAATGAAAATTTTTCTAGCATCTCTTATTTAAATGACAATTTCCATATATTTAAATATAAAGTACCACACTTAGTAGTGAAAGTAAGGAAAAGGAAAAATAAAACAAAATATTGATGAAAATCAAATGAGATGAAAGTGAATATACTGTGCAAAAGTCTGGCCACTAATAACAAAACCTTCCCTTAAAGTAATAACTACACACAACAAAAGGGCAGGGCTATACTGTTGATAAATGGCTGACAAGGTATCCATATCATTTCTGTTTATTGGCAAATTGATGTTTCCACCGCAAACTTGTTTTCAAAGTGTTTAATTATGGAGCAGCCTTGAAGATCCCGTTTCTGTCTCCCTGTGAAAAGATAAAAACATAAATGAAGTTGTTTTGAAGGGCTTTCAAGTTAAATATATTTGTTTCAAAACTGCATTGTCTTTTACTAATCTACTTAAAAAAAAAAAAAAAAATGAATTGTCTGGCAGGTACTTTGGCTTCTATGCATTGAGCCACTGAACTTAAAAAAAAAAAAAAAAAAAAAAAAAAAAAAACCACAACAAAACCCCTTACATCAGGAGTTTTAATTTCACTTGCTGCATGCTTGCTCCAGGAGATATTGAAGCAACATAAAACCAAGCAACACTTCTATAAGGAGGGCAGCCCAGTAATCCTTTAGGTAGTCAGGTAAAGTTTAAAATGCTTGGTGGCCGATTTAAATCGCAGTGGTGCAGCTGCACATTATAAAGCATAGCAATATGCTCTATAAAATAACGTTTTGGTACTTACTGTAAAATCTGTAAAGTCTAAACTGGGAGCAGGCATGATCTTTGTTGCAAAAGAAATGTGCACGGTCTCTTCTGCCATAAAATGAATTTACCTGCCTGCCCACGCTTATCTTCTAATTCCTGCTGTGGCTGTGAGAAGCTAGGTACAACTACCGGCCCCATTCTCTATATAAGTCGCCGGCAGACACAGGTATTCGGAAATCAGAAGATAACACTATGCAGGCAGGTAGGTAGGTTTATTTTATTGCTGAAAACACATTGCATGTCAATTTTTTTTGTTTATAGACTCTAGTTGTGCTTTAACCCCTTGACGCCGCCGCCTCCCGGCCCTTTAAGGGTTTCAGAAGCTGGGAGGCGGGGTTTTAAGGTCATGTGGCCGCTGTGATTCGCCGTCACAGCGGTCACATGATCGGGAAAGGTCCCGATCGAAAGAGGAGATCAGGACCTGTGAGTACCGGACATGTGTGCTGGGAGCACGCAGGGCACGCGCGCTCATTACATATGTTTTTCTTAATTGCATGCAAATGTGCGGCCACTCGGCGTCAAGGCCCAGACGCCGGGACATTTGCGTGCGGCCGGCGTGAAGAGGTTAAGGTTGAGGTTCCTCCTCCACATTTACAGATCTGAGACAGATGCACAGTCCAAACACAGTAGAACTGGTAATTACACTGTCTAGAGCAGGTCCAAAGAGGTTCCTCACAGGGGAATCAGATGTTCCTTAGGATTTCCCAGGCAGATGAACTGACATCACCCAAAGGCAAGACAAACTTAAATGCGTTTAAGAGACCATCGCAGCTAAAGCACAAGGCCCCAGATATTTAAAAACAAAAAAAAAAAAAAAACACAACACAACAACAACTACACAACGCGCTGGTTTGTCCTTCTGCTGGAGAGGTCCTCATGGGATTTGATCCATAGTATCACAAATCACTACCAACAGAGGACGAGGCTCTTCAATTCATTCACACTGAGATCGGTCAATAAAATCCCTAAAGGAAAGGATACCATCAACCCGATTGGAAGTGCGCTTGTTAAAGACAGATTAAAGGGAGTGTTAAGCCCTGCAATGTTGCCATTTCTGTCCCATTGGGGACAGTTCCCTTAATTTCCGGTTTCACAGCAAAAACAGGAAATGAGAGGAAATCCCTCCAAAGTGAAATAGTGTCCCCATTGGAAGAAATCCCATCTTACTGACCTGGTGTCAACACAAAATTTGTCCTGTTTATCATTACAGTTGAAAGTAAAGAAAAATCCTAAAGAGGGTGAATCTCAGTAAAAAGGGGCACAAACAGCAATAAAAACTGACATAAAATGAAAAGTAAAATAAGCAGTGTGTGGTGGTATCAGGCTGGATGGTGACTGGAAGGCTTGCAGCACTGCATAATGGTTACTTTGTACTTCTCCAGGGCAGCATGTATTCCTCTGTTATGCATTACAATCTATGAGAGCGGTTTATATTTGTTTACAATGTGAGTACACGGTTTGTGCAATTTATGAATTTTGTGCGATAATAAATGGATAAAATCTCAATGATATGAGCACAGCACTGTTCCATACACATTCAGGTGATTTAATCACATTGTAAAGAAAATGCTGCACAACTGCTTAACCTAAAAAGCTGCATTCACAGATAAAAACTGACTGGTGTCCTCTCCACTCCAAAACTTGAAAATGGTTTGCCTTTAGGTACACTTCAAAGTACAGTATATGCTGGAGCATCTACAGTGGCCAGAGATCACTTACCAATAAGTTTCCTTTCTATGGTCAGTAGCAGGGTGGATAAAAATCAATGATTTAAAAAAAAAAAAAAAAATTTTTTTATTGAAATCGGATTTTTGTTATTTTTTTTTAAATAAAATGCTTTTTGAGGAAAATATATTACCATTCAAAGGTTATTCCATCATGAAATAAAGATTAGTTTTTTAATTATGTAGAATAAGGCTGTATATGTTTAATTTTTTTGGTAAATAAATTCCATTAATCCATTCACAATGTCATGCTCTTCCAGAGGTTTTTGTAAGATTATTGGGCAGTTTCTCTGCCTACAAGATATTATCACAGAAGCTTGGTTTACTTTTGCAGTTCTCAAAACTGAATTTGACTCAGCGGAGATCACATGCCTCTTCTTCACAGCAAAAATGTTATAACATGAACAGAGTTAAGAAAAAGACCTTAATCCTAACTTCTACAAACCTATGAATACAGAATCAACCCCTTCAGTGCCAAGTTTCAAGAAGTTCAGTGAATAGAATAGAAACAATATTTTTCTGATTGTTTGGAGTGGAATAGATCTGCACAAGAAGAAAGTGAAACTAAGTGTGAGGAGGAAGGGGCTGACAGTCGAAGTTTCTAAAATATATATATTTTGTTTAGCCAAATTAGTTAACAAACATGGATGTTTGTTTAAGCAAATAACATATGCTGGAATGTTATTGTTTCAGTGAATAAATCTATTTAAATTGTTATTAAGGTAATGATTATTTTTCTCCTTCCTAAGTACAACAGAAAAGTTGTCCAAATACGAATGATTAACCTATTAAACTGGGGATAAAAAAAACTAATATGAAAAGTTGTTATCCTAAAAATCTTCATCTACTTGCATATTAAAGTTATACCAGCAAGAATTAGTCTTTATGTAGAAAGCTAGGATTTAAATCAAGCCTTACTGACTAGTGATTTAAATCAGTTTGATTTAAATCAAGTCCACCCTGGTCAGTAGGGATCTATTTTATTATAGGTTGGTAGAGAAATGACAGCGTATTGGGAAGGATAAACTGAAAAGCCCCTGTGCTTTAACAGCCAGATTGCTAGCGCCAGTAACCGTGAAGCAGAGCGGTAAACTGGACCTTAGAGCAGAAGGCCTGGATGAACTGGGAGGGCCAACAGTCGGGCAAATCTGGTCTCAGGAGTATAGGATGATCAAAAGACTGCACCCACTTGTCCTACACTACCAGAGTTTTGAGTTGTAATGGTCTGGAATAAAAAACTGTGACCACCTTGAATGAGAACACCATCAGTGCCAAAACCCTCATTAAAAACCAGAGGGTTGCCTGGTTCCTGGAGTGTAGAGTCTGAACATGGGAGTGCTGGAATTTGCCCAGGGGAATAGAATAATATGGAAGATCAGGCTCTGCTATTCCAAGTGATGAGACAGTTGCATCACTGATTTCAGGAGCTTTAAGATACACTTAGGCTGATGGAGCCTGAGTTGACCCTCAGAAGAAGGCCCTCCCGATAGGCCACTATGCCCTGAGAGCAAAGCAGTGCAAGAACTGCAGATAAGCACCACCATGGTGAAGACCTGAGGTGCATTGGACAGGCCAAAGGGAAGGACAACAGCAAAATACAGGTACTGTTGATGCCCCGGAAAGATAGGGACATGCAAGTAGGCACCCTTAAAGTGCACAGAGGGCAAGAGGTCTCACAAATGGAGGTAAATAAAAAACAGCTCTGGTAGATTCCATGTAAATCAAAAAATATTTTTTGGATAGCGCCACAAAATGATAAATAACAAAAAGTGAAAAAAACTAATCATAAAAAAAAAAAAAAAAAAAAAAAAAAACACAGCTGCAAACCTAACCTTAAAAAAGGTGCATATAATGGTAAACTAAACAGGTTGCGCTTTGCCACAATGTAAAACCCAAATATAAAACTGGTGACAAAAATAATATTGTATAATGTGAAAAATAAACAAAAAGTCCAACTATTGCGTTGTAATGAAGAAAAAAAAAAACAAACTTAAATCGTGTCCAACAAATTTCACCATGTGCCAATCCACCACCAAATAAATTGAATAAACTCACCAGAGCAATATGCTGAGCAAATTATAAATCAGCATAAGCGCTTTCTGCTCTGGGAGCAATAATCTGCAGAAGGATGCAATAACTCTGAAGGTAGTATCCGTATATTCAAGGAGCAATACTCGGAGCAGGGAATACTCGGCAATATAGATCCACTTCTTAAATAAAACCTCTTCCTCAGATGTTCAGACCAACACTCAGGGTATAAGAAAACAGAGAACTCATGGTGCAGTACCTTACAATCTTATTTATTTAAAACTCATTGCACTTACACATAATGGTGTCCCAGCCGACACCAGCAAACAAAGTGTGGTAACAATCAAAGGAACTAACCCAGCCTGTAGGAATATATTTGGTTTACATTGTGGCAAAGTGCAACCTGTTTAGACTCCATGTAAAACTTTTGTACCTGGGGAGGAAGGTGTAGAGAACATCTGGATCCAGTTTGGGCCTGATGCCTTTTTCCCTGAGGATGGTGAACAGGTTGGAGTTGAAAAACCATAAATCACCGTTTCCTGGACAATGGCTATAACCCATTGATAGAGGAGGTGAATGTCTGCCAGACCCTAGATAGTTTGACAAAATGAAGTAGGGAAGAGACAAACAAAAAATTCCAGGTTGTAGCCTATGGATACAGTATTCTGGACACAGTACTCTAAAATGTGCTGGAATCGGGTGAACACAAAGGACAACAGTTGGCCACCCTCTCTGAGCGGGTGTGGGGGCGCTACTTAACTATGAGGAAGACTTGTTCTTAAATTTGGAGGACTTGGGGTCCAAGACTTCAGTGGAATAGTTTCAGACTTTGCCTTGGAGGCCTCAGAGGTACAAAAAGTGAGTAGGGGATTTCTCAGATGGAGATTTTCCCTTCTTTTCCTGGGGCAAAAAAGGGTAATCTTCCCAGTAGTCTCCTTTATAAAATTGTCCATGGATTTACCAAAGAGATGTTTCCCATCAAAAGGCATTCGTAAGAGGTGTTTTATTTGCACAAATACTCCACAAGTCAACAGATTTTCCAAGGTGTACAAAAAGGAAGCTCATTTTGGATAGACTGTGTTAAATATTCACCAATCTACACAACGGAGTAGGGTCACAGGCATGAGCTCCAGTTGGAGGACAGAAGGATTCATTTGCATATACCCAGGATCCTGGGACACGATCTTGGATCGGATGGCTGATGCCTGGGAAATGGACATGGTCACAGTGGCAGGTTGCAGGACAGGGGAGAATAAGGTTTTAGAAAAGACTTGTAGCCTTTATCCATCAGGTATTTAAATAAAAGATATCAGGAACAGTTAGGAGTCTTAGGACGGAAAAATCGCTGGATCCACAATGGGGACAGTCCACTTCTAGGAATCATAGGGTATTGCTGGGCAAAACATTTAGGAAGAGCAAAGACCAATCAGGTTAATCACTTTACAAAGAGGAAGGAAGCAGAAGGGAACATAAAGGAAAATTCTTAAGATGCTGGGGGCTTTTCTTAGAGTCCAGACTCTTAACTTTGGGTATAGCTGACACAGGTAGCTCCAAGTGTGAAATGTGTCAGTAAGGACTGATATTGCATCCTAAAGTTCTGCCTGCAGACAGACTCCTGTACCAACTCCTCATATTAGAATACAATACAATCCTCCTCATCCTACAGCTAACTGTGCAGAAGCAACTGAAGCTCCAGGGAAATCAGAGATGGATGCCAAAGAAGAGGCTGTAGAAGCAAGCTAGCTGAGTCCACTATCATGGCTGCAATTTTTCCCATAGACCTCCCTTGATAAAACAGAGAAAGGAGTTGCCCCTGAATGAGTAAAGAGGTGCTACTGCAAGGGCAGGGGGCAGTGATCCAGGCTATTAGTGTCAGGGGCCTCAAGGAAGACAGTGAGGCTTGCTGGAAGTAGAAAGGGTTACAATGGGCTATCCTTTCAGGTTTCTTTGCCAGAGTCTAATGTCCTGAAGGCAGCAGCATAACTCAATTTATCTCAATACTTTATACTGTGTCCCTTAATATACGAATAAGAGACAATTTTTACAGAGTTTCACTGTTGTGTATACATTCTGACACAAAGCTAGGTTGCACAAGTTACCTCGAACTGGCTCTCTGCGCTGAAGTTTGTAGGTCTCCTTGTCCTGGCAGAGGCGGCGAATAAAGACACCCAGCTGGTCTACATTCTCAATGCGATCTGTGACCACCATCTGTTCATGAATTAAGTAGGACTGGGGAAGGTATGTTCCAGCCTAAAATTGGAAAATTACATTTTCAGAAGTGTTTTATATCTGGAATACTGATTTTTGTTTTCCAAAAGTGGTTTCAAATGTGCCATGCAAATGATAAAAGTCTCAACGTTTCATTGTGTGCATTCAGCGGATGGCGTACTCCACATTAACATTTTTGTGCAGTTCACAACCATTTCTAAAAATCTTCCTTGTTTAAGGAAACCTGCCACTAAAAAAACATGAATGCTGCTATTGCTCATCTTCTGAAAACACTAGCCCTCTTGCTCCAATAATTAGTGACATAAAACAAGTAAGAAGATAGTGGTCTGACTTTACTCCAACTTTCCTGATCTGCATACTAGTTCCAGGTCAGTGACTCACATTTAAAGCCACATGGCTTGCATTTTTAGAAGGGGGCAAGAGAAGGCTCCTAGAATATACCACATGCAATGCAGGCCTCAATAAGCCACAGAGAGCACACTGCTCTGAGGTGCAGCACCACTCGTGAAACCATAAGTCGCAGACACCAGTATGTTCAGGGGTTTCATGGGCAAGCTGGAGTGACAGATTTTCTAGTAAGCTATACTGACATTATCCAATATCGTGAATTTGTTTCCACCTGCCTGGAGCAAAAGGGCTATAGCCTTTAAGAGCATAGAGATTTTACATCAACATTGCAAGAAAGCGAATGAAAAAAAATTCTGCAATACATTCAAGGTAGTGGTCATACTATTCACTTGGTCACCACAACATACTATAACATACCTTGATGTTGATGAGCAGCTCCAAGAAATTCCTTGGTGGCATAACAATTGATGTGTTCAAAGGGATAACATAGCATTTGTTCAGGCTGAGATCAAGGTAAGCGGTGAGTTTCTATGAGGAAAGACTAGTTAGTACAAAGCATCTTACATCACATAGTTTGAATACAAAGTGACAAAAACATATTTTTAGATCTGGAAAAGAGATTTCAGAAATTAAACTAGCCTGGGTTTCTTAGGTCTAGTCAGGGCATCAAACACAGAATGCTTTCATATACTTTCAAAACAATCCACCTTCATGTATTTCAGAGTGTTACAGTAACCTGGACCATTAAGCAAAATAGCAACTCAAGAGACATTCAGTCTCCAAGATACCCAAGGTCAATATAGGTTCATATAGAATAAACCCAATCATCAATTCTACTGTGCCTACAGGGAGACTTCAGTGCTCTGGCTTTCCCACAACCCATCGGCTAAAACAGTTACCCTCAAGCATTATATAATTTCTGATAGCAGAGGCCCTAGAAAAAAAAAAAACGGTGCCTGCTGCAATTTATGTTGCACAATATTTGCAGTGTCATTTATTAAAAGGAAATTTTCAGGAATACACTTAAGTGCATTTTAGTGGACACAAACAATACCCATTTTTTAATATTATATTAGGATTTAAAATTGCGCACACCCTTGAAGCTATGACAAACTATGGTACCTAAAATTGCCCATAGATAGCATGTAAAAGCTTTTAAAGTGTCACCAGTATAAAGTTAATTGCAAATTCTAGCCCTAGAAGTATTGTCCTCACTTAGATGCATTTTTTACAGGGTGGATAAAAATCAATGATAAAATAAAAAAAAAAAAAAAAAAAAAAAAAATCGTATTTTTTTCATTTAAATCAGATTTTTTTGATTTAAAATTGGATTTTTTTTAAATAAAATGCTTTTTGTAGGAAAATATATTACCATCCAAAGGTTATTCCATCATGAAATAAAGATTAGTTTTTTAATTATGTAGAATAAGGCTGTATATGTTTAATTTTTTTGGTAAATAAATTCCATTAATCCATTCACAATGTCATGCTCTTCCAGAGGTTTTTGTAAGATTATTGGGCAGTTTCTCTGCCTACAAGATATTATCACAGATGCTTGGTTTACTTTTGCAGTTCTCAAAGTTGAATTTGACTCAGCAGAGATCACATGCCTCTTCTTCATAGCAAAAATGTTATAACATGAACAGAGTTAAGAAAAAGACCTTAATCCTAACTTCTACAAACCTATGAATACAGAATCAGCCCCTTCAGTGATAAATTTCAAGTTCAGTGAATAGAATAGAATCAATATTTTTCTGATTGTTTGGAGTGGAATAGATCTGCACAAGAAGAAAGTGAAACTAAGTGTGAGGAGGAAGGGGCTGACAGTCTAAGTTTCTTAAAATATATATATTTTGTTTAGCCAAATTAGTTAACAAACATGGATGTTTAAGCACATAACATATGCTGGAATGTTATTGTTTCAGTTGAATAAATCTATTTAAATTGTTATTAAGGTGATGATTATTTTTCTCCTTCTTAAGTACAACAGAAAAGTTGTCAAAATATGAATGATTAACCTATTAAATTGGGGATAAAAAACTAATATGAAAAGTTGTTATTCTAAAAATCTTCATCTACTTGCATATTAAAGTTATACCAGAAAGAATTAGTCTATGTAGAAAACTAGGATTTAAATCAAGCCTGACCGACTAGTGATTTAAATAAGTTTGATTTAAATCAAATCCACCCTGATTTTTTATATTCTTTAAACACACGCTTTCAATTTTTTCCCATTCAAAAGTATAAGTTTACCTTTTTTAACATGGTACACCCTCATTCTGGGTGTAACATGTTACATATGCAGCAGCCTGCGCACACCATCCACCTCCATATACATTTTAATCTTCTCCTCCAGCTCTCTATCTATTTCTTTAGATTCTGAAAAAGCTGTGCAGGGCAGCAACTAGCAAGGTCATTCATTCACAGTGTTCTGTGAATGTGAAAACTACAAGTACCGACAGCCTGTGCGGCTTGCAGTTCTCAATGAACTACCAGGGTGCTGTTGAACTCTCTAGATAGTTCTCTGAACTTCCTGTTAAAGTGCAACTGATTCTCCGTATTGCAAGTAGAGGCAGAAAGCTACACAGTCTGCAGGATCGTGGCATTACCCCCAAGATCTGCTAATCATGGGTGCAATGCTTTACAGATTCCTAACAAAATATAATTTTTTTTTTTTTACCTGCAAAAAATGTGAACTTACTCTTTTTTGTAAAAGTGAACTATTACTTTATTTCTACCTCGTGAGAGTGGCTTCCAAGTGCTATAAGAAGAAAAAAAGGAAGAAGAGCGATACAGCTTCCTAGATTACATTTACAGGAAAGCAAATCGCCGGCTCTAAAAACAAATACCAGGATAATGGCTGAAAACCATGATCCTGGTATAACACACCTTGCTGCACGCTGGGTAGCAAGTGGTTAAAGAACATTTCCACTTCTGCAGTCAAATTTGAGAAAACCCCCACTACATGTTTATTGTGTGTTCCCATTCACACAGAATGCATAATTTTTTTTTTTTTTTTTTTTACATATTTCTCATCTTTTAGAGGTTTCTCAGGTGGAGGCGTTATGGCTCACTGCAATGTTATTATAGTATATTAAATTGAAATTCTCTAAACATCAGAAGATTCGGAATAGAAAACAAAAATACTAGCATTTACTTTCTATGCATACCATAGCTGGTAAATACATATCCCCAATTCCCCAGAAAATGTTTAGAAGAACCACCTCTATTTATTTATTCACTCAATGCCACCACTGTACCCAGCCTCAATGAGACTGTCAATTTTAGGCCCTTTTTAGAAGGCTTTGTGTCTGAGGGGGATGGAAAAATAATGTACCAGCAATGGGTATTGAAGGTCCAGGTATCACATTTTGTTGTTTTCTCCTGCATAATTTAGGGTGCTGCGTCACTCTGCCTCTGTTTGTAGAATTCTTGTTAGGGGTTATATTGTAATTTGACTAGATTATGTCTATTTTCTGACACATCGACATCTATATTGTGCCTTTCCATCCCTTCTTGTCCTAGTTTTGTTCCATTTTTCCGATTAAGTCTTCCTAGCTGCAACATGGTTGCATGCTTCCTTAACAGCAGCATTGTTATGCAGACTCATGGTTGGCAGCAGATTGTTTTTTGGATTGTATTTTGATTGTGTTTGTTGTGCTTTACCTGAGAAACCACCAAATGATCCCAGCGCTAGGCATGGAGAGGAGTGGAGGCCATCTTTCCTTCACTTATCTCTATGCCCTGGTAGGACCGGAACAATGTAATTTCCGGTTCCGGCGCCTTGCAAACAAGGCCATTTTATAATTAATGAAATTTTTTTTTTTTTTAAGCACTAGATCAATGCTTTACATTGTAGAGGAGAGATGTGGGGTCTTATTGACCCAATATCTCTCCATAAAGAGGACCGCCAATTAATTTATTTATTAATTTTTTTTTTATTTTTAATTAAAAAGTTTAAAGCGTCACCCATGTAGATTTTTAAGTACCGTAGTTGGACGCCATTCCAAAGCATGACATGTTGGGTATTTATGTACTCGGTGTAACATCTTTCCTATTTTACAAACAAATTCAGGTATGTATTGTGGGTTTTTTGGGGATTTTTTTTAAACCATTAAAGTGTTTCCAAAAAAATTGCATTTAAAAAATATATTTTTTTAAAACTGTTCATTTCGGTTTTCAGCCAAGTGCATCCTGAATTTTCCGCACCATAATTTGCATTTCGGTGCACCAATTTTTACCTTAATGCAGGGACTGCATTAAAGTTAAAAAAGTGTTGCCTTCAGAACCACTTTATGATACGCCTGCATAGTATAGAAAAGGTTAACTATGGCAAACATGGCTGAACAGCCCCTTCATAAAAGAGAACTACCTACAATTGTTTCTTGCTGGAGTATTCATAACATAGCATCTAAAAAGGGTAAGTTACAATTTTTAAATATTTAAGTTAAGTTATGTTTATGGGGACATATGTTATCCCAATTTGTCTGCAAAAGTGGACACACACATTCAATTATAAGAGGTGGGGACAGATGAGAATACTCTGTACTCTAAGGTGATGTGAAATATGGCTACATTTAAACGGTTACCATTTACATTTTAGTGTAAACATACATACAGCTGTGAAGGTACCAGGGCAGTTTGCTCTGGGGGGGCACTCAGCAGGCGGGAGGGGTCAGAAGTGCCAGTGTGGGACCCGAGAAAAGAAGGATCGAGGCTGCTCTGTGCAAAACCACTGCACAGAGCAGGTATGACGTTTGTTATTTAAAAAAAAAAAAAAAAAAAAACACTGAGTCTTTAGTGTCACTTTAATTCTTCCTGTTGCCAAGATATTACAAGTAAAACAGGATATTCTGTACACAAGATCAGAGTACAAAAGGTGTATTGCCTTTTCGATCTAGTAATTTGCATTACACTATGAACTTTGCTCAGCAATTCTGACATATTGCCAGAGACAAAAAGTAAAAGCAACTGCTGCTAAACTTATCTTATGCCAGCAGGCATGTCATATGTTTATTCAGCATATGCACTTATGGGAACTTAGAGAGAGCATGTAATATGCCTTGTTAGGCAATAAATCAATCAGTACTATAATATGAACTGGACATCGAACCCTGCAGAGAGTAGAGAAAAGGAAAAAGGGATAAGAGGGACACTACATTAAAATAGTACAACTGGAAGAAACATCTTCCTTAAACATTCCAGGTCCATAAACACATAACTATTAGTAATGACTGCTGTACCTAAACAAAACTAGCTATTGAAAGCACATTTGCCACATTCAAGTTTTAGGAAAATGGAGCTTACCCTGTGGAAATCGTGTACAATGTCAGCTGGGTCACTATCAGCAAATTCAGGGACGGGCACATTGATCAGTTCAACTTCTTCATCTTCCAGAATCTGATCTCTCCTTAAATGAATGGTATCGAATGCGGGAAGAGTCTGCGTAAGGCTCAGCAAGTGTCATATCATCATCAGTGTATCTTATTCCACAGAAGTAAACGCCACGCTATTAAAAGAAAAACAAAAAAAACAAACAACATTACATGGGATGAACAGGACCCTCAGATTCCTCATGTATTGAGACTGCACTGTCTGCCCTTATGCTGTAAAGTGGTGTGCACTGTATAATGGGACACACTAGTTACAAGAGTGTACACATATACACATACATACACACATATATACACAATATACACATAATACACACACACACACATAAAACACACACACACACACACATATACATACATATATACATATATAATATATACACACACACAGTATAGCAAAGACACACCCCCACACACACACTCACATTCTGTTGCTTTTGCAGCCTGAAATGCAGGACAGACGATTTGGTTTAGCCAGTTGTATTTATTCAGTGCAACCTATAACATCCAGGCGAAAGATAAAACCAACACGTCAAAAAAAAGAAGAAAAAAGGAGAAAAATCTCCGAGTTGATAAAAGGAACAACTTCTGTCAGTATTTTGTTGAACCACCTTTTGCCTTAACCACTTCAAGTCTGGACACTTTTACCACTGTCCAGTGCAGGCTAATTTTCAGCTTTCAGCACGGCCACACTTTAAAAATGAAAATTGCGTGGTCATGCAACACTGTACCCATATGAAATTTGTATCTATCACCCCCCCCCCCCCCCACACACAAGTTTTCTTTTGGTGGTATTTGACCACCACTGGGTTTTTTTTTTTTTTTTTCTTGCTAAATAAATGAAAAAAATATTTAAAAAAAAAAAAAAAAAAAAAAAAAAACAAAAAAAAAAAAAAAAAACACACACACAACACACATTTTTGCTTAATTTTTTAATTATTTTTCATAAAATTTTGCAATTAATCTTTATTCTTAAAATGTAGACCAAAATGTGTTCTGCTCCTTTTTTTGGGTAAAAATAACCCAAAACCGCGTATATTATTTAGTCTGTGTGAAAGTTAGAGTCCACAACCGCCGCCGCCCCCCGCCACCCCCAGCCATATATACTACCCCTCTGCCCTCTTCCCCAATCTTGAGATCTCATTCAGATCCACAAGGTCCCCCCCCCCCCCCCCCCCCCCCATCGCTTTTGTCGGCAGAGAGCATACCCCACTGGCCAGTGGTGTAAATCAACTCCCTGTTTGAGTTCAGAAATACCGATACCCCATTGTGAAATGCAATCAATCCCTGCTTATATACACCTTACTTATGTTGTTTCGCCTCAGTCTTATATCTTTGCACTTCCTTATTTTGCCTTTGTATGCTGTATGTCAGCCTTTTTCAACCAGGGTGCCCAGGCACCCTGGGGCACCTTCAGGTTTCTCCAGGGGTGCTTTGGCTAAATGCCTAAAAAACTGCCCAAAGATTGTATACAAACCAGTGAGTGAATGAAGCATGCCATTTATTTGCACAAATCCACATGTTTTCATTGTGCACTATTTTTTTTCTAGTCACCTGCGTCCTAAGAACCAATGACATAATTGGTTGGTAAGGAGGTCATCGGGGGCCTGTACCGCCTCTGCAACACTGGGATCACATTACCTCAGTGGGGGAGAAAAGCTGAGAGGGTAGAGAGACGCTGGTATACTAGTCAGTACCAGTGTGCAAAGGTGTAATTGCTTTGCAAGAATAGATAATTTTTTATGGTGGATGTCCTACGTGCGTGTAGATGTTGTTGCATTGCATAAAAAAATAAATATATATATTAATTTTAATTTTTTTTTTATAGCAGTTTTAGAATGGGGTGCCTCAAGACCGTGCACTTTCTTAAAGGGTGCCTTGACTGAGGAAAAAAAAAAAAAAAAAAAAAAAAAAAAAAACACAGCTTCAGAAAACATCGCTGTATACTACTTTAAAAAGTTAAGTTCTTTGTGAAATAAACTTGGTTACTCACTTCTAGCTTTCTGAAATGTGTTACGTTCCAAGAGAATCTTACCTGTGAAACAAAATACCTGTAGAGGTATGCACCACCCAGCACGATACCAGCCAACATAAAGGCCAATCCAAAACACATGCACCAACACCAGGCTCGTCTCTGTCCAAGTGGCACGACTTCTTCCACCTCCTGAAAAGACAAAAACATTTATGACTAAACTTGTACAGATCTGTTCCCAGAAGCTATGACAGGATGACTATTACATGACAAGTCTGCAGAGCAGGTCAGTCCTTAATATCGATGGGCGCCACATAGCAGATATGTCTATATATATCTCGCTCTGTATCGATCCATTCATCCCTTTCTCTCTTGTTTTTTTTTATATATAAACACCATATGCTACATTAGAAGTGCCACTGCTCATACTGACATCTGTGGGGGTATAAACAAGAGACAGGCTGGATGGGAGTAATGCTCAATTGTCAAAGTGCTTACTGAATGCATTACATGATCCTGAATATGAAGACAAAAGGATATATTTGGGATAAAGCACTACTGTACCTTTAACTAACTCACTATATACAGCACCTTACTGATGGGAACTAATTTGTTGTAATGCAGGCCAGGAACCCACAGTATTATATTTTTCAACATCTCAGGCTCCATGCGCTCTAGTGGTTTTGTTTTTTTTTCAGCTAAAACCCACTGGGAAAAAAACACTGGTACTAAAACGTTTTAACAGTACATGTAGAGGAAAACCAAAACAAAAAAAAAAAAAAAAAAAAAAAAAACTAGAAAAAGAAATAAAAGCTGTGGGGAGCATTTTAGTAGCACTTAGCATCATTTAGCATTTTCAAGATTCTAGGAGCTCAAAACGAAAAAAAAAAAACCACACACCACTAGTGTGCATAGAGCCTCAATATGCTTTTGTTACAGCAAAACTATAGTTACAATGTAACTTTCTCTAAATGTTAAAGTGTTACTAAACCTACATCAGTAAAATCAGTCTGTATATGCAGTAAAGTATGCTGTGTATACTCACTGTGGACCTTAAGGGCTTAATCCTCTGCATTGTGTAAATGCAGTTAAATCCTGACTTCTCTGACCCTCCCCTTTTTCAGTGCCCCCTCCCCATCTCCTGATTAGTAATACACACCAAACTGAGCATAATATGTATTTGAGATTTTTTTTTTTCTTGGGAGAGTGCATGTGATCAGCACAGGGCCGATCTGCACTGTCAAGACAGAGGTCAGGGGTTCAGCATCCTCCTGGGGGGGGGGGGGGGCAAACACAAACACCCCTCCAAGCCTTAACCAGTGCTCTGCTGAACACGGATAGAAGTCACAAGACTGCTCTAACTGCTGATGAAAAAGGTATTTAGCAGTTTATATTTACTACAATAATTGCATTTCAGTGTACTGTGGGAGACCAGATATAGTGAATGCAGGGTCCTGGGTTTAGTAACATTTTAAGTGTAAATATATTATTTACAATGTAAACCTATTACACTAATGTTTCACAGCTGAAAACGTTATAATATGTTGGTTTTATACATTCAGATCACTTTCCAGTCCTCTCTTACTGCACATCAACCCCATGTTTATGCTCCCAGCATCTTTGAGATGTAGCAATGAGGGGTTTAAAAGCAGAAGAGTGATACAGTCATCTTTGCTGGCACCCAGTCGACTGACAGTCAGTGCAGACAAAGTTCACCAGGCTCCAGTGAACACATGCGGCATGTGCGGGACTGTTCCCCATTACCATTTAAGGAGGTCAGATCACAGGAAGAGGAGAACAGGATAACTAAAGATGGCACACCAGGAATGAAGCTCTGTTCTTGGCATTGCTTTAGTATATACACCTTTCATAGCAAATGGATTTAGATCTAATATTTAAAACACTATACTGGAGATTTACAATTCATTTTTTAGGACTGCAGGTAAAATATTTGACCTCCTGATGCCTAATTTTTCTCCACAAAGAGCTAAGGTGTGATCACATCCTGTACTTGTGAATAGGTGACTCACTCAGTGCTGTTAAGCAATAAACGTGATACTCTCACCATGACATGCTTTAAAATCAGCATAGTTCTATAGCTTGAACACACACGCACCTCAGTATTAACGAGTACAGCCCAACAGATGTCAGAAATTTGACTTTCCTTTCAAAATCATCATTTTCTATGGAACACTAGAACACAAAAAACACTCCCACATATGCGGGCCATTGATTGCAAACAAGATTTGTTAATTTGCACACACAAAAAAGTATTTTTTCCTAACAAATTCATTCAAGACCATGTTGCAAAAAAATGATAGCCGTGGCCAATCACAACAAAAAAAGCCTGAATTAATTGATTTCAGTTAAATGCTTGCTTATAGCAAAGAAAATCTCAAATTGGGGATGTGATCAGTATTTTTTTTTTTTTTTTTACACAAAGTAGTATAATGTTACTATGGTAACATTATACTACTTTGGTCATAGTGTAATATGAAAAAAAAAAAAATCTTTAAAAAAAAAAAAAAAAATTTAAACACTTATCAATTTGTTTCCCGTACGGTCACCAGGCAGTGTCCCTGATTACCACCACACTAGTTATATGATGCTGTACTGCACTGGTGACAGTATGCAAAAATAAAAATTGTGAATATTTTTTTAATTTCTTCATTTTCCGAAAAATTTGAAAAAAATTACAACTTCAAAAAAACTCGCCATGCTTCTTATGAAGTACGTCGGTCTACTTTGCAAAAAGGGGTCATTTGGGGGATATCTGCACTGTTCTGGCATTTTTGGGCCTCAAGAAATTAGATTGGCTATCATTACTTCAGGATTGATCAATTTTCAGATAGATCCCACAGTTTGTGAACGCTATAACTTTCCTACAAACTAAATAATAAATACTGATTTAGGTTATTTTCACCAAAGAAATGTAGCAGAATACATCTTGGCCTAAATTTATGAAGAACAATTATTGGCAAACTTTTATAACAGAAACAAAAACACTTTTTTCCCAAAATTTTCAGTCTTTTTTTTGTTAATTTAGCAAAAAATACAAAACCCCAGTGGTGATTAAATACCACCAAAAAGAAAGCTCTAGTTGTGTGAAAAAAATAAAATTTTAGTTTGGGTACAGTATTGCATGACTGTGCAATTATCATTCAAAGTGTAAGAACGCTGAAACCTGAAAATTGGCCTGGGCAGGAAGGGGGTAAAAGTGCCCGGTATTGAAGTGGTTAAAGAAAACCCCTTCCATTTCATGCTGTCAACAATGGCACCACATGTCAGAAGGCCTGAGAAAGAAAACATTGTTTACACAAGAAAGGTGAAGGCTACAAGATCAGCAAAGCTTTACTTATATTATCCCAATCACAGCACTACCTGCCTGGAGTTTGCATGTTCTCCCTGTGCCTGCATGGGTTTCCTCCGGGTACTCAGGTTTCTTCCCACACTCCAAAGACATGCTGACAGGGCCAATTTAGACAGGAGCCAATTAACCTAAGTGTATGTATGAATGTGAGTTAGGGACCTTAGACTGTATACTCCTTGAGGGTTAGGGACTGATGTTGGATGAGATAGATATACAAGTATCTGAAACAATAATAAATCAAGTCAGAATACTGTAGCAAAAAATTAAAGTTCGAACTGCAACCATCTCACAGAGACATCCAGGCCGTCCTTGTGCATTAACACCTCGACAGGAGGTTAACACCAAAGCAGCTGAAACTAACAACCCCTCTGCTACTTAAATTAATATCCCAGGAGTTTAATTGACTTGATTCTATACTGTGAGTAAAAAGTGTTCCTTTAATTTTTTTTGAGCAGTGTAGTTAGATATATTTATATTTAAAATGAGCAAAAAAAAAAAAAAAAATCCTTTCAACATTAAGGTACAAAGAAAGATACAAAATGTAAGAAAATTCTGAAATCAAAACAAAAAAGTTTGGATGAAGGTCACTGAAGGAGTTCAAGACAAGTTAAAAATCAGGCATCAAGAAACGCCCTTCAAGCCTGAATGGTTAGAAAATATAGCTGGTATCTGTAACAGTTATAGTACACAACCAGAATATTAATAAAATCAATAGACAGTTACTGTATAAAGGTCTTTAGAGAAGGAAGTAAAAGAGCAATATCTATCTCCATATCCACAGAGCCTGACACTGCACCCGTGTTCTTCTGATCATGGGTAAAAGTTAAAAGAACATGCAACTCACGACTGTACACATGCTGCAGCTGTAATGTTTTGTAGCAAAAATTATGTCACACTCAGAGGGCAGTACAGAGTCTATTTAAAGTGGTAGTAAACTCCACGGTATTACTTTGCTGCATTAAAATCATTAAGAAGCAGTGTATGTGTTCCTCTTTTTACATTTTGCCTAACCTGTGCCATTCTGTTGAAATCCAGCTAGGATTAAAGTAAAGACATCACGGCGCATGTGCATATTTGCGGGTATTAATGGAATGCTCTGTGTGCCCTCCTCATCTACTCTTTGCGGCACTGCATTGCAATCCCACAAGAGTACAACTAGGTGCACAGCTGTCCGATCCCGATCGAAAATGAAGCTTGATCATCACTCAATGCGTGAGAGTCTGGCCATAACAAGAACGGGCAGAAGGGAACAGTAAAAATGGCACTGGCTTTGGATGGGAGTGAGGGAAAGCAAAATAAAAAAAAAAAAAAAAAAAAAAAAAAGGAAGGAACTGAGGGGGTTTATTTATAAGGTGGATTAATATAAAAGGCTTTTGGTGTAGTGCCTACATTAATTTTCAGGATTTCTTTGGTCAAGTTTACTACTGCTTTAAAGTGATTCTAAAAAGGTTATTTTTTTTTTTGTGCAATAACAAACATGTCTATACTTACCTGCTGTGTGTAGTGGTTTTGCAAAGAGCAACCTGGATCCTTCTCTTCTTGGGTCCCCCACAGGCTCTCCTGGCAGTTGGGCGCCCCCACAGCAAGCAGCTTGCTATGGGGGCACCTGCTTAGTGTGTCCATTCACATATGGAGCCACGGCTTAACCCCACCCTCTCCCCTCACTGGCTGACCAGCTGTGATGAGGAGGCAGAGACCCGTAACAGAGGAGGCTGTCATTCACATCGCTGGATTGCGATGAGCGTCAGGTAAGGATTGGGAGGGAGGGCGGCACTGCTACACACAGGTAAACCGTCAGCCTTTGCAACCACTTTAAGTAATGCACATGGTTGAGATGTG